ATGGGACCGCATATAGTAGGTGGGCTCTCCCACATCAATCAAGCACTCAAGAAAATGTTCCACAGATATGCTCGTGGGCCAATGGTATCTGCTTCATGTTAAGTCCATAATATCGCCTTATATGGCCCGTGGCCCCTGCACAGCACAGCAGTGTGTCTCCAAGGTGCAAAAAGGCACCTTATAACATGCTTGGATTTCTGCCCTGTGCCAGCTTGCCACCTTACTTAACCTTTCTGGACTTGCAGTTCCGGTTTTTGCCTCAGTAAGAGGGTGACCTGAGACTGAAAATGCTTTCCAGAGGTAGCTTTGCCCAGCCTTGCTCCCCAAGGGCCCTTCTCCCAGCTGCTGACCACTTTTGTAAATTATGCAGCTCAAGACTGCTGCCTGCTCTGTGCTAGTGCCATGGGCTAGTGCCATGGGCTAGTGCCATGGGCTAGTGCCATGTGCTAGTGCCATGGGCCTGCTCATGTGCTAGTGCTTGCCAGCCCAGCATGGGCAGCTTCTCTGCCTAGACCTTTCCTCCATTCCTATAAGTCAGAGCTGCATAGACCAACCCGACAACAGGGAAACCTTTTATCACACTGACAAAAATAGCTAATGGGCTGAGTAGCTCAGAAGAGGAGGGAGGCTGGGCACTCCAGAAGCATCCTATAGTTATGAGTCCTCCTGGGCCTCTCATGGTTACTCAGAAGTTCCCAGACCTCCAGGAGCCATGATCTGCTCAGCTTCATTGGGTCTATCTCAGAGTTCAGAGCTCAGAGCTCAGAGCTCAGAGCTCAGAGCTCAGAGCTCAGAGCTGAAGTCCAATCCACCCAACCCCCAGACACAGGCCTCATGAGGCAGAGGGCAACCCAAGGTCCTGTGACAGCAAAGCTCACTCTAAGTAGGCATACAGGATGAAGAAGGGGGTTGGCTGGGAGGCAAAGAGGGAAGTGAGGGAGAGAAAGTTGGGAGAATGGGCTTCCCACCATCAGGACTGGTTGGGGAAGACCTAGGGTTTGGCTCACTGTAAGTGATGAATCTCTGTATAGATTGTTCATATTGGTCATTTCACATCTGGGATACTTTCATCTCCTCAACTGTGGGTAGGCATATGTTTGAAGAAAGGAAAGGGAGGTTCTCCACAGCAGAAAAGGCTAGAATTCTCTCTCCTAATGGCTTCAGGCATTGATGATTTCTGTTGCAAAGCTCCAAGAGAAAGTGTGACTTGTGACTATGGATCCCAGTGTTTCTGTAGCACAAATTTCCTGAGTCACAGCTGCAGCATCCATGGTCCTGCAGTGACCTTGGAGGTCCCCTCTGTCTTTACAATCCCCCCCCCACACTACCACCCTCCTTGAATTGTCACATCACAGCCATCTGACAAACACTGTAGTTGTACACTCATCATAGACTGTCCTCAGCCCTGGGCCCAACAGGCACACTGCACAGGAGGACAGCAAGGGCAGGCCACAGAGCACTAACTTCAGCCACTCAGCTGAATCCTGTGGCAGCTAGGGTACAGAAATGGGGCCACACACTCGCCACATTACACAGCCAGAGAAGACATCTGAAAGGAACCTTGTTGGACCTAGAAGGAGGGAGGGGACTAACTGAGGGGAGGGCTGGATTTGTCTCAGACTTCTCCCAGGAACACAGGCTAAGGGGTGGCAGGGAAAGAGCTTCCTCAGCCTGCCACCCCTCCCCCATGTTGCCTCCAGCCTTTCTCCAGTCTGAGCTCTGCAGCCATTTCTTGTCACTGCTGAACAATAGGCCTCGCTGGCAGCTGGCAGCTTGGCCCTGCCTGGGAGATGGGGGAGGTCTGGAGAGCTATGGGGCTGAGACAGCCAGCCTGCTGCAGAGAGAGTTCCCAGCTCCAGGGACAATGTCACCATGTGTTGCCCCATCCTGTCATGCACATGACATGCCATCCCAGATGCCTTGAAGGCTGGCACCTCAGGGCATTCGGGAGCTTTTGCAAAGCCTTGAGGCCTGCAGCCCAAGGCCAGCCCTCCCACTGTGATGACAAACTGGGGAGAAGCCAGCTAATTCAGTCTCCTCTTGCTCCCAAGGGGAAGTGACTAATCTGAAGTCACACAGTCAGGGCAGGAGAGCCTGTGAGCACCTGGAGTGTTCAGCCCTGAAAAGTGGCCCCCTCCTCCTGTTCCTTAAGGCAATGATGTAGTGTGTGAGGAGGGACACGGAAAACACACACACACACACACACACACACACACACACACACACACACACACACACACACACACACACACACACACAAAAGAGAGGAGT